AGGAACTTTAGGTTCTTCTTCCCTAGAAACCAATCTCTCTCCTTAAATGAAAGATTTTGTTTTAAGTCCCCAAAGGAGGTGGGGAAACAAGGTTTAATTTCTTAGGTGTTAGAGGGCTTACCCATTGAGAGGCCAGGAAGTCCGCGGGCCAAATTTGGTTACAGAGATGAATCAGAACTTTAAGACAAAAGCTGGCTGGCCTGGAAGGCATGCTTGTTTATTGACTCTTCTCAAAAACATCAGTGCTTTCCACAATGTCTAAGCCGAAAATAGATGAAGGTAATTCTCTGCATTAATCCTGCCAATAGATTCCCCCTGAAATAATATCCAGACTCCTTACCAGGCCTCAAAAGGCCAATATGAGCCAACTTCCTCTACGAGTGTTATCATTGTTACAGCCTTAGGGCCTTTGCACTTGCTGTTTCTGCCCTCTGAAACTCTTTAACCATCTCAGAATGGAAGCTACATTGGCGACAGGGTTGTTTGTTTGTAATATAACTCTGTATTTCAGGTGTTTGAACAGGACTTGACACATAATAGATGCTCAATAGATACAACATGAATGTCTAGCTTGAAACATATCAGCTACTTCTTTTCACTCAGATCTCAGCTCAAATCTCTCCTCCTTGGAAAGCCCTGCCAAGTCACTATAAAACTGTCACATAATTTTTGTAACCCTTGTCATTATCCTTATAAAAATATGTTTCTATCCCTTGCTTATTGTCTGGCTTCCCCCATGACAACAGAAGCTCCAAGATGGCAATGTTCTCATTAGCCTTGTTCCCCGAGCAGAACTCTGACCTGTGGTGGGTTCTGGGTAAACATTTACTGCATTAGCCACTCCTTCCCCCAAGACAATCACTCCCATCTGTAGTAGTCACCCATGTTTCTTGTGTAGTAAGCAATGACAAACCAATGGTGACCACAGTGCTCAGAGCAACTGCAGTACAAAGCATGACAATGCTTGTCTCTCCTTATAAGAACCCCAGGCCCTACAACCGAGTCCAACCATGTTCTCTGCTGAAGTCATCTGAAGGTGCTGGGTGTCCCTCATGCTGAAGTTCATTCACTGATTAATTCTTTAATCAAATTTTTAATATTTACACTCATGCCTTGAGGTATATATGAAATAAGGGAGGGAGGCATTAAGCAGAGCCTCACAGCTTCTTTAAGAACATCGGAATGGCAAGAAATTTTCAAAGTGATGAAAAGCAAGGACCTATAACCAAGATTACTCTATCCTGCAAAGCTATCATTTAGAATCGATGGACATAAAAAGAGCTTCCCAGATAAGAAAAAGTTAAAGGAGTTCATCACCACCAAACCAATATTATATGAAATGTTAATGGGTCTTCTTTAAGATAGAAAATATAAACAATAAAATGGCAATAAATACATATCTATCAACAATTGCATCTACAAACAAAATAAACAAGTAGAACAGAAACAGACTCAGATACAGAAAACTTTTTGTTGGTTGCCAGATGGGAGGGGTGTTGAGAGGATGGGTGCAAAAGGTGAAGGGATTAAGAAGTACAAACTGGTTGTTACAGAATACTCATGGGGATGTAATGGACAGCCTAGGGCAGTGGTCAGCAGACTTTGGCTTGCGAGCTACATGTGGCTCTTTGGCCACGTGAGTGTGGCTCTTTCACAAAATACCGACTTCTGCGCATGGGCCACGAAGTTTCAATCACACTGTATGTGCGCACCGCACGTGGTATTTTGTGGAAAAGCCACACTCAAGGAGCCAAAGAGCTGCATGTGGGTCACAAGCTGCAGTTTGCCGACCACGGGTCTAGGGAATACAGTCAATAATATTCTAATAACGAGGCGTGGTGTTGGATGGGTGCAAGATTTATTGGGGTGATCACTTATTAAGTTATGTGAAATGAATATAATGATTTATGTCAACTGTAATTGAAAATAAAAATGATTTTTAGAACACATGAAAATATATATTTTAAAATCATCTCCAAGTTTGAAGACGTAGGCACAACAAAATTTTGTTTCGGGCAATATGGGGGATGTGAGTGGTATAAATTACCAGATGGTTTTTGAAACGTCAACCGGTATGAAATTGTGGAGCAGGCTTACTGCCTAGCTCCATCCTGGGAGGCCAAGGTGGGACTAGTTGGGCTGTGTCCTTCAGAGGAAGTGCACTTTGGGTTCCAATAAGCCTCCATTCACGATGCTGGGAATCCCTGAGTCCCCGAGGTCTTTTCCATGTCAGATCCAATTTTCCTGTTAGAATGTGTTCATGACTCCGTACATCAGCTTAAAGCATGCAGATAAAATGGTCTAATTTTTGGAAAGGTGAACTATCAGACATATTTATGCAGGGCAGACTCAGTTTTCTAGATTAAAAAGAAAGGTATCTAAAAGAAATGCTATAAAATTTAATGATTTGGTATGGTTTGAACTGAAAAGGCTAGACTTGTTTAAAAAAAAAACAAAAAAAAAAAACAAGTCATCAGAGATGTGAGGATGTCTAAAAGGCCTGTGCTCAGACCTGAGAGGAGCAGGTAAAAAAATAGCATCAATTATCATGAAGAGAAAATAGGGCAGAGCGGGTCGATTCCAGGAGGAGAGATCATCTCAGACCCGCGCGTTGGCTGGTTTCTGAGTGGAAGACTCTGGGGCCACGGGGTGACGGTGAAGATAGTGTGTTCTGAGGAAAGTAACATTGACTAAGATGATACTTTCATCCCAGGAGGCCGAGGAGAAGCCGGCCTTCCCAGTGGATAGGAGAAACGCACACTTGTATAAACTCAGTATCCGTGTATTCCTGCTTGTTGAGATGGTGTCAAATGCCACCAATCTACATCCCAACCAGGGGGCTGCACTTTGCTGATCCCTCTTGGAACTTGTGGAGAATGGAGGAGGAGAGGTCAGACCAGCTTTCTCTCTGGGACTGGGGGTTCTCTGAGCATTCTCCCTTTGAGGATTAGCCTCCCTTTTTTGTTTCCATTTCATCCTTGTTAAAAAGCAAGTGTGTGTGTGTGTGTGTGTGTGTGTGTGTGTGTGTGAAACTGCTTGCTTTTTCTATCCCACCAGGTGTCATACGACGCAAAAATATAATCTATTTGATTTTTTAAAAAATAAAGAGAACTAACATTATGCAGGCACTTACCATGTGCCAGACCCTTTTCTAAACGTTTCCTAATTTATTTCATTCTCCCCCAAACCCTTTAGGCTCAATACTATCACTAAAACTCTCATTTGACAGGTGAACAAACGGGCACAGAGATGTTAAGTAACCTGCCCAAGATCACACAGCTAGCAGGTGGCAGAGTGAATGAGAAGCCCTGTGCTCTTTGCCATAAAACTACTCTCTGAACCCTTAAGGGGGCCTCAAAAATAAAAATTGTACCAGATGATGCCCATTTCTTCATGCCCCAATTCAACCATGAGCTACTTTATGGGAAACCCAGTGGATTCCTCTGGGTCCAGTGCTTCCCAGATGAGCCCCCAAAGCAGGAAGATTTGGAGTCAGCCCCTGCCAGGGCCACCTTTACCCTTCACAGGCCCCAGGTCCTCTGCCACTGAAGAAAAAAAAGACCTTGGCCAAAAATAAATCTGCCAATGGCTCCAGCCAGGCCCTCTGTGGTCACTTAAAAATTGAAAGGATCCAGGCTCTCTCATCTTTTTTTTTCTTTTATAACAAAAATAAATGGGAAACGGAAGGTGAATGAACTAGGACAGGGGCAGGGCAGGATCTCTAGCGGGGGTGAGTCCTAAACTTGGGCCAACAAGGCCAGGCCTCTTGGTGCATTGGACTTTTTAAAAACATAAAATAAATAACCATTAATATTGTAAAAGGAAACTCAAAGTATGGCACATCCTATTTCAGCTCAGACAAAGCTATTTCCAGACACCTCCCCCAATTTTTTCTAAGTTCAACTGAGAAGAGCCGCTGTTGGGTGCCAATTCCCTGAACCACCCTGCAATTTCCAAGCACATGAATAGCTCCACCCCAAATGCTCCTTGGCAAGCAAGCAGGTGCACCCCAGGCTTTGCCTGAGCAGGAGCAAGGAAACCCCCATGCCCAGGCCACAGGGACTGGAGTTGGTGACCACTGGTCCCCACCAGTTTGGGTCTTCCCCTCTGCTTCTTCGGGCAGCTTCTGATCCCTGGAGTTGGTGTCTCAGCGACACCAGAAGCATCAAGCCAGGTGCCTGCCCCCCGACCCCCACCCCGAGGCCCGGGGATGTGGGAGCAGCGAGGGCTAACCATGCCCTTGCCTCCATTCCTGGACATGGGGAATTGGAGCGGACAAGGGTTGACCCCTGGCCTTCTCCCAGGACTCCTCTCCTCCCTGCATGGAGGCCTGCTGCCTCCGGGGTCCCCTACCCATGGACCTGTTCTAAAGCACGGAAGGAACCCAGGGCTCAAGCTGGAGTTTCCAGGTCCTGAGTTCCCAATCTGGCTCCCTCTCCTGGGGTCTAAAGTGATGTCTCAGGGCACCGGTGCCAACACGGACGCTCTCCCTCTAGCTCAGTGACCCTCCTCCCCCTTTCCCCGCCTCCCACCAGGGGTTCCCCATGCCCGGCCACCCAAGTACCCCCTCCCTCCGACCTCGCAAAGGGCTGTTGAGAAGGCAGGGACTAGGGCGGCGCGAGGAGTGCCCGCTTCCAACAGGCCAGGGAGAGGAACCAAAGTGCGCAGGCAGCTTCCAACAGCTCCAGGCACCTGGGACTCGCTCCCTGGGGGGCCGACGAGGCAGCCTGCGTGTGCCTGGGGTGCTCTGAGGCTCCGGGGGGAAGGGCGTGCTTCTGGGAGCGACGCGGGGTGGGGGACACAGGGGGCTCAGGATCTCAGGACCCCCGGAGTACATGCAGGGAGACCGCTCCACCACGCTGAAAAAGTTCCCAGTCCAGCGCGCCCACCTCCGCTCTGGGGGGAAGCCATCTCTCCAGCAAGCACCCAGCCCTGCCCTTTGTGGGGACCCTCTGGTTAAGGTCAGCGGGACGCAGGGCGGTAACTCCGCTTGGACTTACCTAGAACTCCAGGCCCGCCGCGCTCAGGTCGTCTTCCGCTGGAGCCCAGCCCCGCGAATTCCCGGCGCTTTCTGCACCCCCGGCCA